ACATTGGGGATCAGATTTCCACATGAGTTTTGGAGGGGACAACACATCTAAATTCCATCAGAGCCCCTGTCAGACTAACAGCAGACTTCTCAACAGAAAGTGCACAGGCCAGAAGAAAATGGGATGACATATTCAAAATACTAAAAGAAAAAAACTTCCAGCCAAGACTATTACACCCAGCCAGGTTATCCTTCAGAAACGAGGGAAAAATAGTGTATTTTCCACAAACAAAAACTGTGGGAGTTCACCACCACACCACCAGTCCTATAAGAAATCCTCAAGGAGGTCCTGCATCTGGAATCCAAATAATGATAATCACTACAACGAACACACAAGAAAGAGCAAAACCCACTGGTAGAACAAAAATGCAAACAAGAAAAAGGAAGAAGCTACATCTTATGACTGCAAAAAACTGTAATGACAATGTAATAATGCCCCTGCTTTATTTCTGATTTAGTAATTTTGGTCTTCTCTCTTTCTTCGTCAGTCTAGATAATGGTTGGCAAATTTTGTTGATCTTTTTAAAGAATCAGCTTTTGGTTTGATTGATTTTCTCTATTGTTTTTTAATTCCCCATTTCATATATTTCTGTTGCAATCTTTGTTATTTCCTATTATATTTGCTTTTGGTTTACTTTGCTCTTCTTTTTCTATTTTCTTAAGGTAGAAGTTTATATTAGTGATTTGAGATTTTTCTTATTTTTAATACAGGCATTTGCAAGTATATATTTTCCTCTAAGCACTGCATGAGCCCTGCATCCTATATATTTTGATATGTTGTGCTTTGATCTTTATCTCAAAGTACTCTCTGATTTCCCTGTGATTTTTCTTTTTACCCATTGTTTATTTAGGAGAGTGTTGTTTAATTTCCACACATTTGTGAATTTTCTAAATTTCCTTCTCTTATTCTGGTCAAAGAACATATTTTCTATGACCTTAGTCTTCTTAAATGTATTAAGACTTATTTTGTCATCCAAAATAAAAATATAAATTAATTTTTAAAAAAGAGAGAGAGAAATAGAGCCTGAGCCCTGATAGTACTGCTCCTGAAGTCAGTCTTACCTAGGGCATCACAATTATGTGAGCCAATAAATCCTTTTTTAATAATTAAGCCAATTTAAGTTGGTACAACAC